ATGCCTCCCTCCACACCCAGCTCTTAGTGCCCACTGCTGATAGCTCAGTGCCAGGGCAGTATGCAGTAGTGAGAGGGGAAAAGCCAGTGCTGTCACACACTGCTCTTACAGAGGTGCATCAGCACCATGCACCGCTGGAGGCAAAGGGATGTAGAAAGGCAGCTAAAGATCTGGGCACACCCTGAATCCCACCTCATTCAAAAGTGTTTTGCTGGCCACTTGATTTCTGTTTGTTTTCCCTCTCACCCACCCCTCCCTAACAATTATTACAGTCAGACCCTTCTGCAGAAATTACCACTTTCTCCTGGAGTCACATAAAAACATGAACCTAAGTGCCATTCCAGAGCTATTTATGAGAAAACAAAACTATGCAATGCACAGTTGGGACAAAATCTTTTCAGAAACATTTACACTGCAGGGCAGGCACCTTGATGTTAAAAACATACAGAAAGCTGACAAAGGGAAAACATTTCTGCAGAGCAAACATTGAATAGAAACAAGGAGTTTGGTGGTTCAGAAATGCAGTGACGGCCCTCAGAGAAATCTGTATGTCCAAAACACATTAAGTTCATCCTTCATGATCCATTCAATGCAGCATGCACAGCTGGACAGCACAAACCACACACATTTGTTACCCAAATTGAGGGCTTCAGAGAGGCTCCAGATGTGAAAGCTATGAGTTTATGAACCAGAGGAAGTTTCTCCTACAGACTTGACACCAAACAAAACTGATAATGTTTTTAGAAGTGAGATCTTGCACGTGCTAAGGGCTTAGTAAACACAGCAAAGAACACACTACTGTGGTACTACATTAAAATTCAATTTCCTTCCCTCATTTAACATCTATAGGTCACACTGGGTGTAATCCCTGGAACACTTCAGATCTGCAGAAAAACTCCTGGAGGTGTAACTGCTAAGGAATAGGGAGGACGTGCCTCAAAGATGCTCCCAAGCCAGGGGCTGAGGAAAGCTCACAGAAGAGCAGCTGCTTTGGTGTGGGAACTGGACCTGTCCCTGACACACAGATGTGCCCAGGGATGTGCTGCCAGAGTAGGCTGCTGGTCAGGGAGCCCCACAACAAATCTGAAGCATACTGCTGTCCTCAGCTTCCAGCACTTCCTATCACCACAGGGCTACAGGAGCTGGCAGCAGACAGCATTTGCCACAGCATTGGGACACGCAAAATTTCTGCACTATCAAAGGGCCAGTAACTTGAGGTATTTCTCATTCATGCTCACATATTTCATAGAATCTTCTGAGATGGAAGGGACCCTTGAAGGCCATCTGGTCCTAATCCCCTGCAATATACAGGAACACCTACAGCTCCATCAGGTGCTCAGGGCCCATCCAGCCTGACCCTGGCTGTCTCCTGGAATCCACCACATCTCCGCGCAATCTGTGCCAGTGCCTCACCACCCTTATTGTAAAAAAAGGTATTTCTTACAGTCAATGTAAATCTCTTTTAGTTTGAAATTATTTCCCCTTGTCCTATCACAAAGGACCCTGCTAAAGAGCCTGTCACCTCTGTTCTTCTAGTTCTCTTTTAAATACTGAGAGGCTGCTATCAGGTCTCCTCAGAGCCTTCTCTCCTCCAGGCTGCACAGCCCCAGCTCTCTTAGCCTGTCCTCATAGGAGAGGTGCATTTCTTGGATAATTTGTGGCCCTCCTCTGGAGGCACTCCAGCAGGTCCACAACTCTCCTGTACTGAGGGCTCCACATCCGGATGCAGCATTCCAGCTGAGGCCTCACTGCACAGCAGAGGGGCAGGATCACCTCCTTGACCTGCTGGCTGCGCTGCTTTGGACACAGCCCAGGGTACAGTTGGCTTTCTGGGCTATGAGGGCACACTGCTATCTCATATCCAGCTCCCATCTGCCATTTCTCAGGCAAGAAGTATCTCCATGTTCACCTTGCAAATGAACATTTAACAATCAGCAGTACAGCCCCATAGCTTATTCTCCTTGACCTTCTGGACCACCTATGGTCTGTGGATGGTAATTTGGTACTAGCTGGTTGGTGGGAAATTGTTACAGTAAATAAACACAAGGATTATGTAATATCACCCTTTATTACCTCCCTTGGGGAAGATAACACAGAGAAGGAAAAGAGGCTTCCAGTATTGACAGATTTCTTTACAGAATTTCTATTTTTGACAATTTTCCACTTGGTCTGTTGCCACAAATGCAATATTGAATAATTACGGTGCTCCCCTGCACTTCTTCCCTTTTCAGCTAATCACCCAAACTCCACAAGCAAACATAAAATCAGTGGGTTTACTTAAGTCATCCCAAATGTGTCCTTTAGACACAGCTCTCACTGCAGCATCACACATTCAAAGTCAGGACATGACAGTGTGGTAGCAGCCCTGCAGTTTCAGAGAGGCTGTGCCAGATGCCCCACACACCAACAGCAGCATCTCAAGAAGGGCAGAAACACTTCAAGTGGAGCAAAACCTGTACATGTGTCAGCACAGGGAGACGTGGAGGCTCCCTGCTGCTGTTAGGGAGGAGGAGCAAACAGTCTCATCCTAACTTCTCACCTGAGTACATTATTTGAAATTCACTTCCCATAAGACACCTTTAGAACACATTTTGCCTCCCTTCCCATTTTTAATATCCCCTCTTTCAGGCAGCTGATGTATTTCGCATGCTTTCATCAAGAACAAAAAGTCCAAAAGGAGAAATATACAGACAGCATAATGTTGACATTTGATGTTGGTATTTAGCCATAATGTCAGCTTTTCTAGCTTCACAATTTGTCAGCAATAATCAGAGACAGGGATCTTTTTACATTAGGAAGTAAAAGTCTCTTTGAATTGTGTTATTTAGAGTGTAAGAGCACACACGGCTCTCTCAGATACAGCGGAGGAAAGACCTTACCTTGCATAAGGATTTGCAAAGCTTTGGGATGGAAAGGGAAAACAGCATGCTGTATGGTACAGCAATTTAACTCCCCAATAAGGGCTACAAAGACCAAGTGTGCGGCATCAGAAACCGTGTCAACACCTTTAGATCTACACACAAAGCCCCCTGGCTCTGCAGTAAAAGTGCACCTGAACTTCCTCCCCAGAAAGCAGCAATTCCAGCACTTCCCACATGAAGAATGCTTTCAGGCTGTAAAAGCAGGTTACAGTGAATGGAGTTGATGGCAGCTGAGAGAGCGAGCAGGGCAGTTCATCTCCCAGCCCATCAAATTGCAGACTGCCAGCAGAAGCCATTTCCTTCAATTCAGAATATTCCCTCCCTTTTCCCCCTTTAACAATGGGCCCAGAAAAAGCCACAGACATCTGTCAAACCCAGATGGCTCACTTGGAAATCGACCGCATGCTTATAAGGAAAGCCATAGAGCCAACAGAGCAGGGCTGAATATTTATGTACATTGGAAGCTGCTCGTCTCTGAGATGACAACTTGAACACTCTCTCAGCTTTGTTGCAGGCAGGACCAGGAGCTACTGCTCCACTGTGGGCCCTCAGGCACTGCATGCAAGTGATTTGAATCCAGGAGGTGAGACCTTGCAGCTCTGCCTGCACTTCCCATATCTCCAGAGTTTCTACAGATGGGAAATTGCACTCAGGAAGAGGGATACCCACAGGACTATTCAGTAACTGTACACACAGCAGCAAGAGAGTACAGGTTCTGAGCTCAGCTGTAAGTGAAATGTAATTCTGCCCTTTAAAAGAAAGAGTCATGAGGGAGATAAAAAGGAAACATAACTCCACACTGAAAAGTGTAATTTCCAGGGGATTAAGCTATTGTGCTATTTGCTCATCTATTTCAGCTGCTGCTCAAGATGTTAACCTCACTACTCCCAGTGAAGCAATGAAAACAATTATTGAGCTGGCAATGTGATTTTCAGCTGAGAAGAAACACGTATTAAGGAAGGAGCAAGGAGTTCCACTGGGATCAACTGCTTCCAGTCCCAGCAGCACCCTGTGACCTGCAGGAAAGCAATCAGACCTGCAAGGCAGCATGAGAGCAACAAGCAGAGAGGGGACAATACATCTGCCAAACCACAGAGCCCACAGGGGACACAGCATTGATGACCCTCAGAAATGGCACTACCTTTTCTCTGGGACTTTCACTGTTACCAGCAGGTGCTACTAAAAGCAACGCTATGATAATGGAACTATCACGAGGAGCTCAAAGCCCTCAGTGCCTCTGTGCATCCAAAAGCTAACTTTTCTTCTAATCCAGCCTCATTAAGAGTTCACTGGAAGACAGGGGAAAAGAATCAGACATGCCATCTGATCCCAGGAGGTGCTCCAATCAACAGCAGCGCGGTGCAGACGAGGCACCACGCAGTCAGGAAGAGTGCCTGGTGTTCCAGCGGGTAAATGACGGGGATCTGCACTGAACACAGCACGCAGCTTTAATGGCCTTTCAGAAGCCCTCACGCTGTGAGCAGGCAACACCAAGCAACTGCACTCACAATTCCACTGCAAATTATGTGAATTTAGCACTTGCAAAAGATGTCATACTTACAGGGTTCAAAAATGGAAGCACCTTGCTCATGGGCAGAAATACAGCAAACATATTTCATTTTTTCTGTTCAAACCCCCCTTCCTCTTGCCTGCCGCTCACTCCCATCAGTGCCCACAGGCACTAAGTTGGAGATGGGCAGGCAGACAGAAGCACAGAATTGACCTTTTGCTACATCTTGCTTGTTTTCCTACTGTTAGCAGAAGTCACAGCAAAAGGACACTTCAAGCTGCTTCATTGCGCCCGGTGCACTTTTGCAGTTCACCAATGAGGCTGGAGAGCTGCTGTAAGCTACTCACTTCGCCACCATTCTTGCTGCCTGTGCTAGAGATTGCAAAGGAAGTGGCATTGCTTCTATAAAAGAGCATTTTGCAGATGTCTTCCCCTGAATCTTTCTTTTTAGCAAATTTCAAGAGAAGAGAATTTGCAAAGTATTCTTTTATTAGCCTGTATAGAGGCTAAGGAATCTGGTGCCACTATATTCCCAGAAGTTTGTTTACTTTGAAAGAGAATCAACTCACCAGCAGGGCAATCGCTGAGTCGCAGCTGGGCACCTCCTCTGTCCTTCACCCTTCCCAGGTACCAGGGCAAAGCACCAGGTTACAGGTAGCACAAGACTAACAAACGACAGAATGTGATGCAACAAAGAACGCTTCCACACCTCTCCTGCTCCAGCTGTGGTGACGTAAGAGCAGGAAGGACTCACCACGTGAGACCCTTGAGACCACCCCACAGTTACCAAGGAAGAGCACTGCAAAATGCTCCCTTCCCCTCCCAGACCAAGCTACTCCCAGACCTCTCTAGCACACAATCCCTGAAAGCCACCAACAAGCTGAGCCCACGCAGTTCAGGTTCTGAACACAAAGTGCTCCCAGCCCCAGGAGCTGAGGCCTGCAGGGTTCAGTCAGATCCAATCCAAAGAAACATTTATTTTCCAGGGAAACTAAAGATTCACCATTCAGAATTACATTAAACTAAGAAGATGAGGATTCCATTAACTAATCTAATTTAACCCGATCTGTTTGAATTTCATTAGATGTGGCTGCACTGGAGACTCAGTAATGAGACTCCAGCACATTGGGATCCTGACTGCCCTAACTCAATCTCCCAACCTGATGCGGACAGCTGTAATTGTGCTAATTAGCTGCAGAACCTGTGATGTACTTCAGCTGGGCTCGGGGTGAAGAGATTAAAACAAAGCCAAACAAATGAGAAAGTGCCAATGTACTTGCATACAATTTACAGGCAAGGAATAACACACCGTGTGTGCAGACATCTCTCAACCAGGGTGGGGGAGGGCACGGCACAGGAGCAAAGTATCCCTGGGTAACGTTGGTTAATTGGCTTGATAAATTAACAGGATGAGACTGAAGGAAAAAGAAGAGTCCTCTAATTCAAATAGCCTCCCTACAAGTTCTGCCTGCTGTTGGAAATTACGCACCAAAGCTATTTTGGAAAAAACAATCAGAGCCTTGATATTTTCTAAAGTTAGCCTGCTTGGTTATTTTACATCCAGAGAAAGCCTCACTTGCTCTTAAATTTGTCAGTACTCCCATAGAGATCAAGAGGATGCCAGTTTGTGTGAGCAGCCAGACAGCCCAATGGCAGCACTCGGCCCCAATCCCAGCTCAGGGAGATGAAGGGCTCGTGCTGCTCTCTTGATCAGGGCACGCATCACTTCAGACTTCACATCAGAAAACCTTTGAACTTCAGTGTCACAGAGACAGCCTGCGGAATAAGCTATGCTTATTACTGTGGCAATAAATGCAGGAAAGCAGAAGCACAGGTGAGGCACACAGAGCATTCAGACACCACCTTTTGCTCTGCAAAACCCACCTGACTGCTGCAGGAAGGGATGAGGGTCCTCCAGCCAGCAAGACAGAAACCAGGACTGACAGTGACAACATAAAGATCCATCTCTGGGCTCTTGGCTTTCCTCCCCCTTGGAGCTACAACTGCTTGAGGAGAGGAAAGTAGGATGTCAGAGTTGGCTGGACTCTCCTAAGAGATGGGTTCCAAGGCCAGAGACAGGCCACTCTCCTGATGATACACATATTTGCAACGCCCATAAGCAGAAAAGCCCCTCCATCTCCTGCCCCTTTCTGGGGGGCACATTTTCCTGTTGCAAGAGGAGGATTTAGACAGGGAAAAGTTTTGGAGTCTGCCACAGCTCCAAGCAGCACCTGAAGCAGTTTGTGGGGCACAGAAAGGGCTTGAAACATCAGAAGCCTTTGAGAAACATGACCTCACGCAATGCAGAAACATTAGGTGCACCTAAACAGCACCAAGATCTTATTTATATGACTAGAGAAAGAAACTGGGTCAAATTCATCCCAGTGCCACACAGAGCAGCGGCTCCCAATGAAATACAGGACTGCTAGTGGCTGGACTGCAGGCTTTCCTGTTCCACACCATGCCATGTTCATATTGATTGCAGAATTACTTTCAAATTACAAGTGCGAGCAATAAAATTAACTGCATGAACTCCAAGCATTACATTCCTCTTGCAATTTCAATTATCGATTATGTACCATGGCAGAAGCATTAAGTCTTGAAAACGTTAAAAGCAATTATTACTTTGTTAGTGTGGGGCAGGTTGTTTTTTTTTTTTAATATATACACACATACATACATATATATTTACAAAATCTACTTATTTTAATTTAGGGAGCAAACCTTACGCTGCCTACCCTGGCAGCTGTAATTCAGACGCCATCCCACTGATGTGGGTGCCTAGAGGATAGAAACCTGGTTTCAGCCTCGGAACTTGGTTCCAGTCAAGGCAAGTTGAGAGTACTGACAGCAAACACAACACCCCAACCCCAGTGGATAAGCATCATGTTCAGATGGGCTGGCTGAAAGAGCTTTGTAACGAGCAACATTCTGACTGTTTCCAGCATCCTGGCTGATCTGCCAGTATTTACTGGAAGGAGCCACCCATTACACCCCAGAGGATTGGGTGAAATGAGGTTTTGACAGAACGAGGCATACTTCATACCCAGCCTGCTGGTCCAAGATGGATGTTGTGGTTTTGTTTTTTCTGAAAGGAAAAAGGAAAGCCCTCTTTTGTTGGTTTGTGTTTTTTTTTGGTTTGTTTGTTTTGTTGTTGTTTTTTTTTGAAATAAACCCTAAGAGGCAGTTTTGGTGTCATCTGTGATCCCTGCCAAACATCCACACATTTCATGAGCTGCACTGACAGAGGAGAGCAACAGTAAAGGGCTCCAGGAGCACCCCATAGAAATATGGCAGCCCCGTTGGGCACATTCCTCCCTTCAGAGCAGCAGTGGGGCTGCTTATGCTCACTTCCTGACAGTCATCCCAAACGCCCAGCAGCTTTCAGTCTGGAAGTCTCCATCTCCATAATTAATGCAGTGAATACAAAGCTAAACTGGGGGGGGGAAGGAGGGGGAAGCGTGACAATGCTTTAGCCACATCTCCATTTATCTTAATGGAGCAGGTTTGGAGCTACCTCAAGCAGTAAAGCTGTACTTACCCAGGGGTGCATGCCTGTTGACACCTCTGCAAAAGGATGGATGTGGTCAGCAGAGGGTTCTGTGCTTGTTTATCTGCAGCAAGCGACTTAAAATTGGAGCCAGGAGGATTTCCAGTCCTGCTCCACTGCATTCAAGTTGTGTACAGCTCCGCCTGGCAGCTGCTCCTCTGGCAAAGCCAGTCTCTGAAGGTTGGCCTCCAGTATTCAGCTAATTTCTGTTCCTCCAAACTACACTAAGCTGATAAGCTGTGCTGAACGCCACTTCTCAAATCACTCAAAATCTCACACAAGAGTAAGACAGAGTTCTGAAGTTGTCCCAGTGACTTCAATTTCCATTTTGTTCACATCATTTCATTAAAATGATTTGCACAGATATCCAGGGCCCACTCCTCCACGTTTTCAGGCAGCACTGAGTCTGACTCAAACACCAGCCTGGCAACAAAGGCTGCTCTGTGAACACAGCAGTGGGGAACACAGGTCACACATACAGGGCCATGGCACATCCCCATGGACATGAGCAGCTGTACCCCAGCAGTATAAGCCAGTGCCTCCCCTTTGAGTTCAGCATTGCAGTCTGTAAGCACACCCCAAACATAAACCCCAGGGCCAGAAAACTTCACAACATCCTTGCAGAGATGCAGTGAGACACTACATCCTGGGATCAGCTCACATGGAGGTGGGACACTGAGCAACAGTATCTTGGTAGGAGGAGGGGCAGCACCAGCTGTGCCAGCCTGGAGGCCCAGGGCAGGATCCGGGCTGCTCCCGCTTCAGGAGGGAGGAAAGCAGCCTGTGCCAGGACTCCCCTTCCTGCACTCTCTCTTGGGTGGATGGCTTGGCTGTGGTTCACAAAACCTTGGCTGTTTCTTAGTGATAAACCCAGCTCAGAAAAGCAGTGCTTACTTCAGGAATCAGCAGCATCAAATCTCAGGGGTGAGCTCTAAAGGGCAGCAGAGCACATCGTTATCTCACCAGGCACACAGCATACAAGACAAGCAGCAAGCATTCATTCAAAAGCTGGGTGTTGGAGCACAGGTTGATCTGAATCTGCATCCCCCTCTCACCTCTTTGGTGAAAAACCAAACCATTTTGCCTACTCTATGACAAGGCTCTTGCCATTTCTGCACCTTCCCAAGGTAGTTTTGACCTTCTAGCAAGAGACAAGTCCCCTGTGGATTTAGGGTACACACAAGGACATAACATTTAAGCCAAACAAAGTGAGGCTGGTGTTCTTACACAAATTACAGCTGCGCTACATAGCTTGCAGCTGAAGAAGTCCAAAAGCACAGACAGGTTTCAAGAGGACATCAGTTCAAAGCTAAATCTCAAGGTGTAGGAAGCCCAGCTGGGAGAGAGAAGCAGGAGGAAGGCTACAGCCAGGGAACAAATACCCAATGCGCGCACACTGACCCCATCCCCTGGGCATCCTTTTGCACCACCAGATTAGGACACTGGGACTGATGGTTTGACCCAGTCTGGCAAGCCACCCCTTCTAGTCAGCTGAGTCTATTTACTAATTCATTCTTAACCCAGAATGCCCTAATTCTCTGAAGCGAAGACAGCAACATCACATTTGAACCTTTCTGGTTGATAAGCAAGCTACAAGACTGGCCAAAATCAAATTTAAATCATCCCAAAGAACATTAGAGCTACTATAAGTCCACTCTATAGTGGGGGATGTCAATTTGATTCGTTTCTGAGATATTAACGCACCAATTAGCTCTGTTTCTCTGGGGAGAGGTCATCCCATAATTTACATATTTTGGCCATATAACAGGGAGGAAAAAAATTATGAAAACATGCAAAGCATTTGGATGTGTTCAGCTACCAAAGATTTCATAATGAAAACAGTCGTGACATTAGATTAGTGTTTCCCAATGCAAAGAGGATTTTGTTTAAACTAGGAGTGTAACAAGGAATTATAGCAGCTGTGCCTATCATTATTCTGCTTAGCCTGTTAATGGAATTGGTTTGCTAGAACCAAATTGGTTCAAAAGATTAATTAAAAGCAGGTGGTTCTGCTCAGCAACTCCTCCACACCACAGAAAGAACTTTTTGTGGCCAAACCAGTTCTGCATTTTCTAATGACTTGCAGAAGTTCTCTGGGGGCAATGAAACAATAAGGAAATTAAATTCAGAACGCTGCCTGTGTGGCAGCGTGTTGCAAGGCCCACCTGTGGAGAAAGTGTCCAGACTGTGAGATGCCCTAGTGAGCTTTCTCCTGTACGTCTCAGGAGGGATTGTGTTGGCATGAAACATTCCTGGGGACTTAGCAATAAGATGTCAGCCAGCAAGGGCTGAAAATCATGAATTAGCCTGAAAATGAGAGGTGGGTTGGAAGTGGAGTCTTCAAGTTACGCATTTGGAGCTTTTTCTCATCCTCTCTGTTGACCACATGCAACTCTCATCCAAGAGCCCAAGCCATGGCAGCACCATGCTGGTTAAGTGTCTTTTGCAGGCAAGGAGTTTCAACACTGCTATGCAGCAAAACCCAGCTATATAGCAAAAGTCTATTATTTCGGGGGGGGGGAGGATTTTGGATCTAAGAATGGACTGGGAGTCAGAGAACCATGTGAAAGTCCATGGTGAAAGTACCTAAGGCTTACATAAATTCTTAAAAGCAAACCCAAATATCCAGTTGTTTGTCTTTTAATCTAAACTGCAGTACAGATCCAAGCCAAATACTGTCTTGTCTTGAGTTAGAAGGAAAAGATGCATTGAATATTTGTGAAGGCACAAAGCTCCTTAACCACCTCTCCCAAATCATCCTCATGGTAGATAGGAATCTTGTGCCTAAAGCAAAAAACACCTTGGATAACCAGTGCCATGTTTTACAACAAAGAACCAGGAATATTTTTGGCTTGCACAGCACTTGATATTTGGCTGAAAGCAAGTCCACAGGCAATAAAAAAAAAAAACAGTGACTATTTGAGTCTCAATACTTTTTGCAGTCTTTTCAGTAACTCTGCCTTTGGACAGCATTATTCAGTGACTTTTCTTGCAAACTGAAAGAACACTGATGCACCTCAGGGATCAGCACAGAAAACAGGCTCCCAAGACTACTGGCCCATAAGCTGCCCCATTCCAACGCTCTCAGTGAGGCAGAACTGGAAGCACTTTCCACTTGTTAGATCAAGGTAGCCAGAGCTTACTCTGCAGAGCATATCAGAACCACACAGACATGATGGACATCACAAAAACAGCATTTGCAAAAAAAAAAAACAAAAAACAACACAGAGACATACAGCTGGGGAGGACTCATGAGTACATGAATCTCTTTGGAGAGATCATTAAAACCCCCTCACCTGTGATCTTCCAAACACCACTTGCTCCTAAGTGCTCAGGATTGCTGTAGAGCCAGACTCACCAGGCTTGAGCTCCACACTGTTCTCTCAATTAACTCCCAGAGGAGCAGAGGGAAGAGGGAAAAGTGCACTTTAACAGCAATTTTTATTGTTTCTAATTTGCAGTGCTTCTCCCTGTTAGGTCATCTCACAGCTAACTTCCACGCCAGTCCAAAACCCAAAGCAATAGCAGCATTTGGAGGGGATGAATAAGATGATGGATGCACATTCCTCAATCAATTGCTGGAACCAGGTACTGTCAGGTGCCTAGGAAGTCACCCACAAACCACAGCTGAAACACACTACACAGCAGCTCTGTTTTCACCATGGGTCAGCAGGGTGCTCACCTGCCTCTGCAGTAGGAAAGGCTCTGGGGACAGTGTCATCACACTGCCACTCTTCTGTTACTGACCAGAAACCCCAATGAACTACTCTCCCCTGCTACCTGGTTCCCAGACACAAGGCTGGAAGAGTAAGACACCAAACTGATTTTGTGACTGAGGACAGAGCACCATTGATTCCCAGGCTTTTTTGGGGGGAGGGAGGTGGAGGACTGGGGAGAAGGGCTGCAAATATAAAGATTCAGGGAGAAAAAAGTCTTCATAAATGAGGAAAGACCGCAATAAGAATTTTAAACATCCAAGTGTTTCACAGTGCCACTCTGCAGGCTCTGTCCTTGCTGCCACGGCTCATCCCTGCACCAGCAGCCCCACTGC